CAAAAGCATCATATTCTACTTTGCATTATATTTCTACATAAATTTTATTTCCATTTCTAGACTGTAAGTTTCACAATAAGAGGGTCCATGTTATTCATATTTCGCTACTTCCTAGCACCCAGTATAGAACTTTACACATTTACTCAATAAATAATGTTGAATGAATGTCATTTGAGTTAGGTGGATTTATGTAAAATTTAGGTTAGGCAAGTTCAATCTGATTTAAAAGATGCCCCCTGACAAAAAATGGGGAAAAATGGAACTCAGGTACATTAGGGAGCACAGAAGCCAGAGTCAGAGAAAATGTTAAACATTTTTTCATCAGATGAATATGACCCCAAATAGGTAAAACCTGCATAAATAGCACCTATCTATTTCTGCATCAACAGCTTTGAGGTTGATTTGCAACTAAGATCATAGAATGTAGAATGGCAACAAATCAAGCAATAAGCATTTATTAAGCACAACCTATGTACCAGACATTATGTTAGGCACCAAGGATAGAAACCCAAAGAATAAAACATCCTTACTCTCAATGGTAGAAGAGTCTTTAAAAAAAATAGAAAAAAAAAAAAACAGAAGTCTATGTTCCAGATAAAAGGAAGGGCCCTTAGAACATAGAGGATCAAAGCTGAAATACAGAGTATTGAAAGTCCAGATTCAAAGGAACATTAAGGATCATTTTATTCAACTCTCTCATTTTAAAGATGAGGACACACAGGCTCATAGAAGGGAAGACATTTGTTCAAGGTTATTTAGCACATGAATGGCAGAGCCTGCACTTGAACCTTCATTTCCTGTCTCCTAGTCCAGTGCTCTTATCATTATCATGTCATAAAATTCCTCACTCTATAGCAGAACTCAGGTCAATGTGAAACCCCACACTTAAATATGTACAATACCTCATTATCAGGCACTATCGTTTTTGGAGTGGCCCCAGTGCACAGCCCCTAAGGACAGGTTTGTTTTTGTTTTGAAAGCATGGTATTTCTTTTCTAATGGTACTAGACTATTGGTGATAGCCATTCTTAAATAAATTTCACTCCGTGAAACACAAATGATGTGATGGCCAATCTAGAGACACCAAAACTCCACTTCCTCTTTCAGAGGGAGGCTGTGTGCATTTTTGTATTTAAGTCACAAAATAAATTGCCTCAAACTCCTTTATCATCTCTGAGAAGGCGCTGCTTCGGGGGAATCGTACAGCCTATGCCATAAGAACAGGAATTAAATATGCTTACTGGCAGCAACGAAATTTTCCTACTATAACTCTGACCTTGGGCAGTTCAATTCAACAAATTCAATTTGATTCAACACACATTTATTAAGTGCTGACTATGTGCAAGGCATAGTGTTAAGTGGCATGGACACAGCAATAGATAAGACACAGCCAGTACTCTCAGTGCCCCAGTCTGGGTGTCAGTGTCCTCAGCTCTACAATAAGTGAATTGGACCAGATCATATCTCTAAGGTCCCTTCTAGCTCAAATACTCGATGTTCTAATAGTCGCTCCTGCTCTGACATAAGGTGATCTATGGTTTAAAGGCAATCTCCTATTCTAAAATTCACAAGACTATATGACCTAATCATTAGTCTGATTCTTGTGCTTTCCCTACATGAGGCAGAATGGTATAGTTGGTAGAGTACTGGACATGGGTTAAGGAAGATCTGGGTTCAAATCCTGCCTCAGACACTTGAAGAACTTTGGAATTGGTTGTATGACATGGGAGATGCTGGCAAAAGACTGCCCAGCATGGCATACTTGCATCAAAGAAGGCACCGTACTCTATGAGCAAAGCAGAATTAAAGTAGCTCAAAAGAAACACAAGGTGGCAAATTTAGAGAACCCACCCCAAATGTTCACATGGACTATTTGTGCTTGACCTGTGAGAGAACATTCCAAGCTCATGTTAGTCTGATCAGCCATAGTTGGACACACTGAAACTTGACTTTAACACAGTGATGTCATTTTGATTCTCTTAGAGAACAAAGGACAACCACCAACCAACCATGTGACTTTGGGAAAGTCATTCAATCTCTCTGATTCTCAGTTTCTTCATCTGTAAACTGAGAACACTATGAGCACTTACCTACTAGGGTTTTGGTGGGACTCAAATGACTTGATTATGCAAAGCACTTTGAGATGTCAAAGCAATAAATAACTGTGAGCCAATGTCAGTCATCAACATCCATATGATTATCTTGTGTTTTCCTTAAAAAAAAAAACCTAGGTAAAAGTTTGTTTTGGGTTGACAAGGATGCTCAAAATAAGGATCCCAGCTATCCTGGATTTAGGATACATACCTTCTTCTTCAAGAGACCCCATAGTAAATCAAATCACATCCTTTTGTTACAACTTGTCTCACTATTGCATGGCTTTGAGTATAACACAGATCAAGTGATGTCTTTTGAAATAAATCCCTATGGACAAAGAGGTGGTATGCAACAGGGTTAAACCTAGCTCATAGGTATTAACTCCCATTCCATGACACCAATGTGATAAATAGGTTCTGTTGCATTCATTTACCAAAAAAATTAAAAAATAAATAAAGTGAATCAAGAGCAATGAAATGAAAATTTTCTAGGTATTTCTCAAATCCTATTGAAATTGTCTAAGAAGCCCTGGAAATATTAGGCAGCCAGGATTGGGATTTGATGACTTCAAAACTGAGAAAGATGCACAATTTTATATATCTAAATACTTATGTATATGTATATGTATATGTACATACATATATATCTCACATTTATGCAGCTTTTCCTTCACTAACACCTTCTGAAATAGGTACGGCAAGCAATATTACCTCCATATTACGGTTGAAGACACTGAGGCTAATAGATCTGGAGCAGCTTGCTCGAGGACACAATGGCTAATAAGTATTAATCTAGGAATCAAACCTAGGTCACTTGACTCCAGGACCAATATTCTTTCTTGTTGACCTTACTGCCTGCCTCTCTAGATGCTGAGCAATGTTTATAAAATCTTGAGAAGTATGAATGTAGGGTGAATTTGGCTTGTTCACCGAAGCTCAGAATGCTAGAATGACCAGCTCCTCCCTGAAAGTGGTCATTTTAAGGACAAAGAAGAACTCCTTTTTCCTACAGTAGATGGTAAACCTATTGAAAACTCTGCCTCAGGAAGTGATAAAAGCTAAACAAAACTGGTTCAAAAAATGTTGAGATAAATTTGTGGCTGCCTAGGAAAAAAAGAAATCTGGAGATATCCTTGATCTTTGATTAATGGCCCAATCAGAGATGAATCTGGGCTGCAACAAATATTTTGCTGACATAGGGAGGCATTTTTCAGTTGTTTGAGAGATATTTTTCACCTTGCCCATATGGAAGTTTTCCTTGGCAGGACAATCTAAGTAAGCATCAGGAAAGACTGTGTAGTGTACAGAGGGAGCAATGGACTTGAATCCATGAGACCTGGGTTATAATGCCTCTCACTAGCTATGTGACTCAAGGTAAATCATTTCATTTCTCTGTGCCTCAGTTTCCCATTCGTCAAATAAATGAGCATAATACCTGTCCTTTCTACCTCACAGGATGGTGATAGATCTTTTCCATTGTAGAAATATGAACAATTACCGTCATCACACTAATAGTTTCTTGAGTTCAAACAGGTTTTATGTGCCTACTATAATTCAGCTCCAGATTCTAGTTGGTAGCAAGAGTCACCTGCGGCAGCTTCTTTAAAATCCCAAGTTGTTAATATTGAAGTATGGTGGGAGAAGGACTGAATTTGTTCAGTCCTTTGTTGTGGCATGGACTTAGAATAAGAAGATCTGGGTTCATGACCTGGCCCAATCAGGTCTAGCTATGTAACTGTGAACAAGTTGTAAAATGTCCTGAGTCTAAGTTTTTTTTTTAAATCTATAAACTGGAGACCATAACACTTTTTCTACCTGCTTCAAAAGGTCCATAAGATCTAGAGACAGATAGGGGCCTAAGATCATTTATTCAACCTTCTTGTATTACTGATTAGATTCAAATCAATAAGCATTTTTAAGTGACTACCAAGTGCTAGATGCTATGCATAAAAAAGGCAAAAATTAAATAGTCCCTTTCTTTAAGAAGCTTCCATTCTCCTAAGATGACATGACAGGGGCACAGATAAATTTGTTTTGAAAAATACTAAAGACTGGAGAGATCAGGAAAGGTTTTGTGGAGAAAGTAGCACCTGAGCTGAGCCTTGAAGGAAGCCATGAATTCTAAAAGGTGGAGGTGAGGCAAGAATGCAGTCCACTCTTGAATGAAAGTCTATGCCAGGGCATAAAGACAGTAGACGGCAAATTAGATTTTAAAAAAAGTGACTAGTAGACAAAATTGAATAAAACAAAAAGTGTGTGAAGAAGAGTAATGTGACTAAACCTGTGCAGGTAGATAGAAGCCAGAATGTGGAAGACTAGCAGAGAGATGAATTAGAAGACTATTGTAATAGTGCAGGTGAGAGGGAATGAGGGTCTGAAGCAGGTAATGACCATATGAGTAGGGAAATGGGGATAGATGTGAGCAATGTTGTGGCATTAGAATCCATAAGTCTTGGAAACTGAATGACTATGGTGGGGATGGGGAGAATATTGTGAGCTGGGCAATGGAAGGAGTGATTAACATTAACATAAATAGAGAAGTTTGGATAAGGGATGAATTAGAGAAAAATATAATGAGTTCCATCTTGGATGAATTGAATTTAAGGCATGGGGCATCCAGAGAGAGATAGCAGTAATGTAGTACTGGGGTTCAAGAGAGAAGTTAGGGCTGGATGTATAAATTTTGGGAGAATCATCTACATAGTGATTATTATTTAAACTGAGGAAAGTGAGGGCCAAAGAAGAGAATCCCAAATCATCTAATAAGCAGCAAAGCAATGATTTAGACCCAATTCCAATGACTCCAAGTTCATGGCTTTTTGTACACCACCACAATGCCTGTTAGCATGAGAGAAGTGAGAGCCATTATTATACATACAATAGAATAATTATTAGCAGAAGAGTTACCATTGTCTGGAAACAGGAGTGTAGCTGTGTCAGGAATGGAGGCTTCCCAGCAAGAGCAAGCACCCTCTTCTCCACCATTGTACATTCCACATCATCATCCTGGATCACAACATCTTTCTTCAGGATTTTCACAGCATAGAGTTCATCTGTGCCTTTTCTTTCTGAAAGCATGACCTACAAAGGACAGACAGTGACAATTAGGATGCTTTGGGGCAATGATTTACCCAACATTCAGTGAACACTTATTACATTCCTATTATGTGCAACACATAGGAGAGGAAATGATATAGAGTGAATACAGAATCAACCTTAGAATTGGAAAAACTACATTCAGGTCCTGCCTCTGATACATACAAGTTGTATAATCATGGACAAGTCATTTAACCTTGTGAAGACAGAGTGGGAGCCTTCTATCTCTCCTCTCTCATCACGAGTGACTTCATCTACAAATGAACCGATTTCATAGAAGTAATATCTATCTACCCTTCCCCTTACTCACATTTATGTTGCTAACCTTTCCCAGTCCCCCTTCTATGCCAGCCACAGAGAAAAACAAAGGTATCTTGCTTGGTTCCCTAGGCCAATGACAGATAAGTAACTCCTGCCCTTATACCAAGGAAAAAGGAAGGAAGGAAGGAAGCAAGCAAGCAAGCAAGGAAGGGACAGTGGATGAAAAGGAAGGAGAGAGGGAGGGACAGAGGAAGAAAAGGAAGGAGGGAGGGAGGGAAGAAGTAAAGAGAGAGGTCCGGTTTTGACAAGCTTTAAATACCAGAACTTATCATAGAGCTAATAGGAAACAATGGTGGTGGTGGTGGGGAAACTATGCCATATTTGTCCTCTATCCTCAAATTCCTAGCACAGTTATCTATATTTTTTTTAGTGGGAGGTGGGATGGAATGGCAAGGGGTAGGGCAAAAAATAGACAGGAAAAACCTTGTAATAAAAAACTTAAAGAGATAAATTTAAAAAAATAAAGAAAACCCAGTATCATGAGCAATTAATGAGGTAAAAGGAACTAAAGTGGGGTCTCAAAAAGGAAAAAACAAGACTGTATCAACAACTAGAATCCCAGAAAAGAGAATCAGTCTACTGTGAGAACCTTACCTCTTACATCTAATCAGTTACCAGGTCCTGGCAATTCTGCTCTATGACATCTCTCCCATTTGTCTCCTGTTCTCTATTACACTGTCACCATTGTAAATGTCTAGTAATAAGATTCCGGTAATGAGACACTTACAAAGGTGGCCTATGGTGGTAATGACGCACTTACAATGGCAGCACAGAATGGCACGATTAGCATCCTAATTGTACTCCTTGTCTCCACTCTGTAATTCCTCCAATCCAGCTTTCATGATACCGCTAGAATAATCTTCTTAATTTATAGGTCAAGTCACTTCAGGGCTCAAAATTCTGCAATGGCTCCCTATTCCTTACTGAGTAAAGTTCTAATTCCCTCACTGAACACTCAAGGCCAACTTCATTTTGTGTTTTCAGCCCTTTATTTCATAACGCTTCTGACTTATAAAAGCTCATCTAAAGTGGACTACCCTCTGGCCCCCATCTATACAACATTACTTCCCATGTCCATTGCTTCCACCTGCCCCATTTCACCTGTTGAATTTCTATCCCTTTTAAAGCCCAGGTTAAATGTCATCTTCTCAAGCAAGCCTTCCCTAATTCCTCCCGTCTTACACTTACCATATATTAATTTGTATTATGTGTATCATATTATCCTAGTAGACTAGAACCTCCATTGGAGGCAGTAACTGAGTAGAAATGTAATATGAACATAGGTTATATATTTACATTACATTTCTACTCAGTTACTGCCTCCAATGGAGGCAATATAAGAAGGAGGAATACAAAGTACTGTGGGATTAAAATGAGAAAAGATTACTCACTTTGGGGAATCAGGAGGACCACACAAAAATAATATTTATTGTAGTACATATAGCACTGAACCTGGAGTTAGAGAACTAGGTTCAAATATCTCTACATATCCTAGCTGAGTGAGCTTAAACATGAGAAAGTCACTTAAGTTCTCTGTGCCTCAGTTTCCTCATCTGTAAAATGAGGAAGTTGGACCTGAGGACCTCTAAGGTCCTTTCCACCCCTAAACTGATGATCCTATGAATTCAAAGGAAATAAAAAAGCAGAGAATGGGATAGAGAGAAGGACATCCAAGGTTCAGGGAATAGCATGGAAAAAAAGACATGGAGGTGGGAGTGCATGGGCCATTAAACAGGTTGACAAGTAGTCCAGTTTTTTTGAAGCATGGAGTAGAGTGAGATAAGAGTGGGGTGGTAGGTATAGCCTGGATGTGCTTAGGTCGACCAGATGACCTCTGAGGTTGCTTCTGATTCTGAGATTCTACCAAGTTAAGGAGCATGTACTTTATTTGGTAGACAAAGGAGAATCATTGAATATTTTTAAACAGTAATGTATTTATTTTTTATTTAAATAATATTTAAATTTTAAATAAAGTAGTAAATAATAAAAGTACATATAATACAAAATAATAAAAATTAAATAAATAAAATTTAAATGATATTTAAATAAATTTATTATTTAAACACTAATTGAGTAATAACCCAATCAGAATGCATTAAATGCCTACTACGTGCAAGACACAAGGGCTGGAATGCAAAGGATGAAAGACAACTATTTTCTTTAAGGAAGTAACACTCCACTTTCCCCAAATCTTCATCTGTGTACTGTCTAGGCCTGAGGTTAATCAACTCAGTTAAAAACAAAAAATTAACCTAATATGCCTCTCCTTGCCCCCTTAACACTTACCATCTAGCAGGGAAATATGATACATACTCATTACTAATTATTGCTCCCCCACTAATGTCAAAAGTTTAATCAAATCAAACAATGTTTGCTGGATCCATGCCATCTGCCCAATTCCCTGTCTCAGGTGATATGGGAAATGTAGCATGAGACAAAACATACTCTTCTTTCAAAGAGCTTCCATTCTGTTTAGGGAGAGAAGATGGACAGAGAGAGCACGTAACAAGGGAACAATGCAAGATTTTAAGTGATGCCTGCCTAACATGTTTGTGTTGTAGCTATGTAAGCAAATTAAGAGACGGTAAAGGTAAGGAGCAATGCGTCCTAGTGGACAGAGAGTATGACATGGTTTCAGACAGGTGTGAGACAACAAGCAAGTCATTTCATTTCTGTGTCCCAGAAAACTATGACTATAAATTGCAGGGCAGCTACCAGTTTGCCTTGGTAGAGAAAACTTCCTCACAATGAATTTGTCTGAATTGATGAAATCATAAGTCTGGACAAAAATCAAAACAAAAAACCAAACCACAATCCTATTTACTAAGAGAACCCTGCTCCCTTAGAAGATGCCAACAATGCCCAGACCAAGAAAACACAAATAAGCAGTAGAATGAGAAAAGAAAAAAGTTTCTGTTGTCACACAGCTGAGCCAGACTCTAATTAGCTGAAGCTTTTTTACTCTCTAGAGATAGTTAACATCTAATAATCAGTGGAAGGCACACAATGGACGCTGGTGAGCCGCTTGTATCCACTTCAGTGAGGTAGTTTATTTTTGAGTCAAATTAATTGGGGGGGGGTTATAAGCAGAAGACTTATAAAAACTTGTGAGAGTCCCCTCACTCAAGGTATTAAAATTTTATTCTCTTATTTTCTGGCTGTATGAACTGATACTTCTTGCTCTTTTGGGTCTAGCTACAGGAAGCCGAGTCATGGTATATACACATGCAAGAAAGAATATGGGCTGCTGGGTATTTATTCTGTATATCTGTACACCACAAAAGAGAACCAAGGAGCTGGCCTGAATAATATTACAAAGGGTGATCCTAGTTGATAAAATATCTCTTAATATGACCTTGTTCTAGACTAGGCTCACTAGGTTTTTATCTAAGAGAAGAACTCAGAAGTGCCCCCTAACTCTAAGATATACAGTCGGGGAAGAAGATAGAACTAGAAAGACATACATAGTCACTGCCAAAATGTGTGGTCTACCCCGTAAGTGCTATGGTTCAAAGAAAACAGAGATGAATGTACTTTCATCAGCTTTTCTCCTTGCTCTGGAATAAACTGTGCCGCTAATACATTAAAGCATTCATGCTGATCTTTATTATGTATTTATTATAATGAACAGAGAATATAATATCTCCTGCTATCATAACTTTCTCTCCTTAATCAAAGCAGGCAAACAAGAACTCCTAAAAGACTCCCAATGACACCCCACATATTATGAAGATGCATGGCCGCAATTTGCAAAGAACCTCATCAGGAAAAAAAAAAAGGCTTGTTTGCCAGACGCCTAATTCAGATTTCCAGGTGGATGAGATTTTTTTTTCTTCCCTTCCTCACCTCAATGTTCAGGTCAAACATTCAGAGAACTCAAATGAATTCCCATTTTGTAAAGAATTATCTGATTTTTCCCTCAGTCAGATCCCAGTCTAAGCAAGCATTGCTCATGGAAGTGATAAGAAATCAATAAAGAAATAGGGGTGCTTCTTGGTATAGTGAAAAAAGCATTAGACTTAGAGTCAGGAGATCTGAGGTAAAATTTCATAATATTTTTCTTTTGTTATTTGTTCATTAATTTATTTTTAGTTTTCAGCAATCACTTCCATAAGCTTTTGAGTTTTAAATTTTTCTTCCCCTCCTTCCTCATTTCTCTCCCCAAGATGGCACACAATCTGATATAGGCTCTACCTATACATTGCTATTAAATATATTTTCACATTAGTCATGTTGTAAGGAAGAATTAGAACCAATAGGAGGAACCACAAAAAAGAGGAAACGAAACAAAATAGAAGGAAAAAAAAAGCAAATAGTATGCTTCGATCTGTATTAAAACTCTATGGTTCTTTTTCTGGATGTGGATAGAACTTTCTGTCATGAGACTTTTGGATATATCTTAGATCCCTGCATTGAAATTTCATGACTTTTCACTTTTCTTATATATGTGACCTTGGTCAAGTCCCTTCTCATTTAGGGGCTTCAGTTTTCAAAAGGTTTTTTTTCTCATAGATTACCTCTATGAACTCTTTTCCAGCTCTGACATCATTATCTGCTTTACATTGTATAGTCCTTTCAGCTCTGACATCCTATAATTCTATACTCATAGTGCAGAATTACAGTGGCTTCTAAACAAAAGCCAGCTAGTGTCTTGTAGACTTGGG